ATATGAAAGGGTAGGGAAATCCGCCATTTAGTTATTTAAAAGGGCCTTTAATTAAAACATTCCGAACAGACGCACCTTATGGCTGTATCATTTAATTTATTAAGTACTATATGAAAATGACAAGAAGACCTCCATTTTTGAAGGTCATTAGAGACCGATCCGTGAGTTACAGCAGTTATAGTGTTCGTAAGTAGATAATTAGCTATGGGAAAGGGGTTCTTTTTTCAATAAAAGGTATATACGAAAGGGGTACCTTTTTAGGCAAAATGGTATATAAAAGACTTAAGGAGTTGTGAAATCAAAGTGCATATGGGAATTTACTGGGGGAAAGTACTGACACGGTTTTCATAAATCCAGTCATATATATATTCTATTCTGTTTACTCTGATATATATGTTTGAGGTGATCAGTAATGTAATTTAAATGTGGATGATTATGGCCTAAAGAAGGTTTATAGATATCAACATGCATGGGTTGACATAGCGCAATCTGACTTGAAAAGCGTTGGTAAGGCTAAAATTCATGTGTAACTCCTTACCAGATCAAATAGATTTGGTCTTGTCTGGTTACCAATGTGCAAAAGATCATGGAATCCTTCAGTAATAACAAGAGCCATTCGTTCTCCTTTCCGTTCTAACAGAGCATTAGTAGCTACTGTAGTTCCCATCCTGATCCATTCAATGTACTTTGGATCAATTGGTTGATCTGCTGGCATCTTAACTCCCGTCACCTAAGCAGAAGAAGAGAAATGACAATGGAAGTATTCAAATTTTTAGCGCAGAGTGCACTACTGGGATGATCGATTTAGAACTTTTCCGAGTTAGTGGTATTAAAACTAGTCTTTCTCCAATTTTTTGTTCACAAAAATTGGTTGATTGAAGACCATGCTGCATCGCGCCTGACACATGTCATCCACGACAGAAGCTTTTACTGAGGAATGTGCCAAGTAACGCTCTATATTCTCCCGACTTGATTATCCAATTGGCCTTATAAGTTCCACCATTAATACGTATATTCAAAATATTGCAACTAAGCCAGAAAAGAAAACCGATGATGATAACACGTTCAGAATAGTTCTTCTCTTCAAAGATCAGATAGCCGCTAATGCAGTCCGTAGGCAATTACGTGATCTCAGTAATAAGATTGCTGTCACTTTATAGTCGTTGATTACGGAAGGTTTGCAGCTTGTTTAATATGGATCTTGTAACTCTCCAGGTCTTGAACCTGTGTAGAAGAATGGACTTCACATTGGTAGTAAAGATTCGTAGCTTGGTTTTTGTGGATATTGATATTGAGTTCCACACTGGTCTTAGGGTATTAAAGGCCTGCCTCGCTTTGCGTATACTGCTTTTTACATCTTCGTCCGCTCCTTCGTCTACTGTGAGGATACTTCCTAAATACGTAAAGCTGTGAACCTGTCCTCCAGTTCCACATCTTTCAGCTTGATCTTCTCCCACTGCCTGCTGTTAGTTCTCATGACTTTGGTCTTTTCTTTGCTGATCCTGAGGCCAGTTTTCTCTGCAACCATTGCCAGATGGTCGGTCTTGATTTGCATAGTTGCAGTTTCTCGAAGTCATGGAGTTGAGTTGTAAGTGTTCATTGTATACCTGTTTTACCCTGATTCTCTACCCCTCTCATAATCCAGTCGACGACCATTATGAAGATCATTAGTGACAGCAAGCAGCCTTGGCGGACCCTGTGTTCATCTCAAATGGCTCTGATACTTTCCTGTTGTGAATGACTTGACAGGATAATTAAGGCTTCATAAAGCTCCTGGATCAACTTAAAAAACTTTGGTTGAACTCCATAGCGACCCATGAGGTTCCTGTCAACGCTGTCGAAAGCTTTTTCGAAGTCAATAAAGTTCATAGTGGAGTCTGCCTTTCTGTAGATTGTTCGATGGCTATCCTCAGGGATGCAATATGAGCGATGCAAGATTTGTGTTTCCTAAATCCTGCCTGCTCACAACGCAGTTTGTGATCTAGGGCATGTTTCAGCCTCTCTAGGATAATGTGGCAGAAAACCTTGCTGGGAATTGAAAGGAACATAATTCCCCTACAGTTCTTGCAGAACCCAATATTCCCTTTTTTTGGGGCAGCTTGACAAGGTACCCATTCTTCCATTCCGATGAAACCTTCTCCATTTCCCAGATCTGAATGAAAAGCGGGTGTAACGTGGCTATTGTAGTTTTTGGGTCTACTTTAAGAACTTCAGGTGGGATGTCATCTGGACCTGCTACTTTCCCATTCTTCAGCTGCTTCAGCGCTCGCTCAATTTCTGCTTTAGCTGGTGGGTTGACATCAACGTTGAGTAGAGACCCTTCAGTAGCAGTGATGCTTGGCATTTCTGTGGGAGCTCGAGGTGGTCTATTCAGAATGTCTCGGAAATGTTCCACCCATCTTGTCCTTTGTTCTTGCTCTGTAGTTATGGTAACGCTTTCCTTGTTCTTAACTGACTTTGACTGTGTACTTCTCTCTCCCAACATTGTTCTAATTATGTCATAAAGCGTTTTCATGTTTCGCTGTCCTGCTTTCTGCTTCCGTGGCAAGAGTATTAAAGAACTCCTTCTTGTCTTTCTTGGCACTTTTCCTTACGTCCAACTACACCTACTGATTTTGACTTTCAAGCATTTCCCCTGTGTGATCAGTTTCCATGTCTCTGCCAAGGGCTACTCCTTCTGGCTTCTTTTCCTCTCGCCTGGGACTTGATCGCAGGACTCCTGCCAAGTGTGTTTCAGTGCTGTCCTCTCTCTGCCAGTGTTGCCTATTTTGGCATTAACGTCCCCAACAAGAATTCCGATGTCACGTGCAGGCGTGTGATCTAAAACACCTTGGAGAGTGTCATAGAATTCTTGTTTAAGGTCATCACCTTAATTAATTGAGGCTCACAGATTTAACGTTAAATCTGTGAGCCCCGCTTACATTACAATGCACATTTTCTAGGGCAGGATTTTAGTCATATCCTGCACGTGTTTCTTGTGGGTTTTTTTTTGTTCTCACCCTACAATTTATGAAACCAGCTCGATTTATTTTCCCTTTGTTTCAGATTATGATGATTAATATAAGACTGTCACAATAAAAAAAATTGTAAATCAAACCGGTTTGAAACATTTTGAACCAAATAAAATTGGTGCCTCAGCATATACCTTCACTGGTAGGCGGGGACAACCGAGGACATTGGAATGAAAGTATTTCCCTGGGGGTGGCGACGTTAGCTCATTTTTTCGAGTCCTTTTGTCCAAGTCCCCGCCTATTCCCGGGTTGGGGGGCCGGGGGGGATTTAC